CCAATGCCCTGAGCCAAGGCAGCCTTGAATATTGAGTGGGGAGGGCCGGGGCCCGAGGTCTGCCCAGGCCATGTGCCCCTGTGGCTCTGACATCTTCACTCACGACACCAGGGCTGGGGATGGGGTGGTAAGGGCTGGGCCTGCAGCTGGAGAGTCACAGGGTCTGGTCTACTGCTGGAGAACCCTCTCCAAGCCTCAGTTTTCCCTTCTGTTCAGGGGCCTCTCAGGCAGGGACACTGCACAACTCCAGGGGACACGGTTCACATCCACAACAGAAATCCGAACAAGGTTAGGAGCCAGCATGTTGTGTGGTCTGTGTGTGGTGGGGGTTTTGATTACACAAGGGGCCCTTCCTGCCTTGACATTCAAGAACCAGAGCTGGATAAAGGTGAAGGCAGGAAGAGTTTGTTTTTGGCTCCTGGGGGTCTAAAAACCCAAACTCGCTGCCATTGAGTTGATCGTGACTCAGCAACCCCCTTTGGGTTTCTGAAGTGGTATGTCTTTACCGAAGTAGATCCTCCAGACACTTTTCTGCGGACTGGCTGGTGGGTTTGAACCACCAACCTTGTGATTAATAGTCAAATGCCTTAAGCACTACGCCACCAGAGCTCCCCTGGGGGTCTGCGCCTGCCCTAACAAGGGTCAAATCGGCTGGTGGTCAATCACTTGGAGCCGTTTATGCTTGGAAGAAAGTGAATGAGGGGCAGGGTAGCCTGGATGGGAACACAGAGAACAAGGTGCAGCTCAAAGAGTCCGCACCTCAGACACGTGGGACCAAATTCCAGCTGTATGACTTCTTGGCTGTGTGATCTTGGGCAAGTGACTAAACTTCTCTGAGCCTCCATTTCCCCATCTTTAAATGAGGATCATAGTATTAACATACCTTGTAGGTTATTTTAAGGATCAGCTAAAATGTTTGCCTTGGAACAGAGCAGCTACTTCCGTGATTAAGAGCTGCAGCTGCCATAGTGTTAGATATTTTGTAGGGAGTATCCTGGAATCTGGAGGATGCAAAGAGCTTTTGGCCTTGAGGAGAGAGAACTGGCTGCAACACTTCTCCTTGAGGAGCCTCAGGCAAGTAGTTTTCCTTTTGCAGTCCTTAGGACCTCTGGTAGCATAGTGCCTAAAGCACTTGACTGCTAACCAGGAGGCTGGTGGTTCAAACCCACCAGCCACTTCTCGGAAGGAAGATGGGGCAATCTACTTCCCTAGTGATACTGCCTCGGAAACCCAAGTAGGGGTCGCTATGAGTCGGGTCTGACTCTATGGCACCTAACAACAACATTAACCTTCTTGAGTAATAGGGCTGGATGAGTGCTCTTTAAATTAGTGCTATTTACTTACTGCGAGGCTGGCACTGTTTCAAAGTATTTACTCCCTCTGATCACATGATGAATCCCATTTGCTTGAGATTCGGTGGCAACAGTGGCAGATCTGGTGAGTGCCCAGTGCAGCTTGACACCCTTTGCCACCTGCCTTCAAGGTGTACTTTCAGCCTGGACAGTGGGCAGTTCCTGCCTGTATTCTGCCAGAAGAATAAGCAAATCTTAAAATGCAACCAGAATGTTCCCTGGAATCCAGATCGTGACGTCATCATGCTTGCTTTGGCTACGTCATCAGGAAAGACCAATCGCTATAGAAGGACATGTTTGGTGGAGTAGAGTGACAGGGAAAATGAGGGAAAACCTCAATTCAGTGGGTTGACACAACAGCCACAAGTGGCCTGAAATACAACAAAGATCGTGAAGATGGCTTAAGACTGGAGACCAGAGCCATTCGGTTCACTGATATGTAAGGTCACCCTGAGTCCTACGGACTCCACCTGCAAGTAACGTCCCACTGCAAGTGCTTACCTCTCTCAGGGCCTGGGTTTTCCTGCTAGTTTGAACTAGAATATGCTGGGGGGCTGACGGTAATACCCACCTACCTCATAGGAAAGGAGCCCTGCTACCCAAAAGGGTTGCTGGAACTCACCCAGCAGTTTTGCGGGAAAATTACCTGGCAATCTACTCCCATAAAGATTACAGCCTGGAAAACCCTATGG